ATGCCACCTGCTGGATCCTAAGGAAAAAAAAAAGACAGAAATATCAAAGACACAAAAGAATTCATTGCCTCTCTATCCCACCCTTTTCTTTCTTTTTTGGAAAGGTTTTCGCTATAGGGTGTGTGCACTCACCAGAAAGACAGAGACAGAGAGACAGAAAGTGAGAAATCACCCCCCAGGGGGAATGGCCACACCACAATCCCTTCTCCTCCATTCCCCTCTTGGGATCTTGGGCACGCAAGCACATGCGCCCACCCTGAGTTTAAGCCATTAGGTCTGGGACTCAAAACGTGGTTGACTACATGGGAATCCATTATGCCAACTGCTGGTCCCTACCCCACCCTTTTTTCAGTGGAAAATAAAGGTAGTAATGGTATAACTCATGAAAGCCACCAGAAGAGGAAGCTTTGTCATTTTCAAGTTCAGGATTTTCTTCACATGGTAGATTCCTCAGGCAGGACAGATCCTTACTATTCAAGTATAGTCCATAGGCCAGCATCATTGGCACTACCAAGAGGTTGTTAGAAATGAATCTTGAGGGACTAGCAGTTAGTGTAATGGTTATGTCACTAGACTCCCATGTAGTCGACTGCAGTTCAAGTCTTGGACCCGATGGCTTAAACTCACGCTGGGCGTGTGTGTGTGCGTGCCCAGGATCCCGAGAGGAGAATGGATGAGAAGGGATTGTGGCATGGCCATCCCCCCTGGGGGGTGATTTCTCACTTTCCATCTCTGTCTCTCCAGAGAACTTATGACTCCTATAGCAAAAATCTCTCGAAAATAATTAAAATTAAAAAATAAAAAATAAGGGGCAGATGTTTTGTGAAGCTTTTGAGCATCAAGACTCAGTGTTTCTCCCTTTATCTATAATTTAAATCCTTCCCCAAATGATTACAATACTCTGTACTGACTGATAATTCCACCCTATACCCCAGATATTCTCTTTCGTGGGTTCAATAACATCAAAACTCTTTATCGTGTTTATATTTATATATTTCTCTTTATTGTATTTATCTCTAAACATCTTGCTTATCAAACAGGTTCCTCTTGATAATCCAGTCATGTTCGTGTAATTGTGCAAACTTAACACATTATATCCCATGTTTTTAGTTCTGCTATAGGGCACATGCACTTGCAAGAAAGAGACATGGAGAGAAAGAAAAGGAGCAAAGGTGAGAAATCACCTCCCAGGGAGATGGCCACACTGTAGTCCTCTGTTCTTCTCTTGGGATTTTGGGCATGCCTGCACACATATGTGCCTGGCCTAATTTTCAAGCTGCCAGGTCTAGGACTTGAACTCTGAAGTCAGCTATGTGGAATCCAGCCTTCTTAACCTTCATGCCACTTGCTGGCTTAACATATTCGATTTTTATCAACAGGGTATAAAAGACATAACATTCCTGGGACCAGCAGTTAGCATAATGGCTATGTCACTGAACTCCCATGCAGTTGACCGTGGTTCAAGTCCAGGACCCAGTGGCTTAAACTCATGCCGGGCATGTGTGCGTGCGTGCCCATGATCCTGAGAGAATAGAGGAGAAGGGATTGCAGTGTGGCCATCCCCCTGGGGGGTGATTTCTCGCTTTCTGTCTCTCTGTCTTTCTGGTGAGCGCACGTGCCCTATAGCAAAAACCTTTCCAAAAAGAAAAAAAAAAAGATGTAACATTCTTTACGTGAATGGACCACATAAAGCATTTCATACATAATACATCTCTAGTCCATATTACTTAACAATTACCCTTCTGATCAATTAATAACAAGTAGCTCCCCTATTTGATACCTTAGTCCTGCCAAATTTCTCTCCATATGTAAAAGCAGCCTGCTCCTATATTTTCCCCTTTCTTCCTTCCTTCCTCTTTCTTTCTTTCTTCCTTTCTTCTTTTCTTTTTCCATCAGTAGTCCACAATTAATAGCCAGTTGTTACTTGTTTAGACTTGGCAACTATTTCTATATAGGGTAAAGAATATCCATTTTTTTAAAAGAACTTATTTATTTATTTATTTATCCTAATTTGACCAGAGAGGGACAGAGAGAGAGAGAGAAGAGAGAAGAGAGGAGAGAGGAGAAGAGAGAAGAGAGAAGAGAGAGAGAAAGCAAACCGCCAGGGCTGGGAATCAAGATGTAGCTGACCATGCGGGAGTCCAGCATTCTCAACTACCACACCACCTGCCAGCCGCCTTCCCTTTCTTCTCTTTTTTTTAAATCCAAAATGTGTTTATTGGGATGGTTTCCCACTCATCTTGAGTCAGGATGTTTTTAGTGCTGCTTCCTCCTGAAGGAACTTCCTTCTGTAAGCCTCGCTTTTCCTCCTGTAGGCTGGCAGAGGACAGTGGAGCAGCCAATGCACAAAACTGCCGTTTGTGCATGGCTAGAGACTGTGGTGATTTTACAGCATCCTGGGCACTTCATATCCATGAAGTAGGAATTTGGGCTCTATACCAGGCGCTGCTTCTTATGCTTCCTCTTCTCTTCTGGAGAGGAATGAAAGATGTCCTCTGCGAGAGTAATGTTCTTGTGGGGAGGTCGTCATTGCTGGAAAGGCCCCTTTTTTACTTAAAGAATTATTTTATTCCATTTGTTATTATTATTTTTAAAAATTTTGACCAGGGAACCAGCAGTTAGCGTAATGGCTATGTCGCTGGACTCCCACATAGTCAACCGCAGTTCGCATCCCGGACCTGGTGGCTTAAAACTCACTCCGGGCGCGTGTGCATGCGTGCCCAAGATCCTGAGAGGAAAATGGAGGAGAAGGGACCATCCCCCGTGGGGGGTGATTTCTGGCTTTCTGTCTCTATGTCTCTGTCTGGCGAGTGCACACGCCCTATAGTGAAAAATGTCTCAAAAAAAATTTTTTTTTGACCAGAGAGAGACAGAGCAAGAGAAAAGAAGAGAGAAAGCAAGCCACCAGGTCCAGAACCCAAACCTTGGTCACCAATGTGGGAATCCAGCACCCTCAACCACCATGCCACCTGCCAGCCCCTGGGTAAAGAATATCTTGACTTGACTTTCAGGATCACTTCACTTCTCCTTCAAGGTTTGATTCTTTTTTTCGTAGAGGTTTTTGCCTTAGGTTGCCTATGCTTGCAGAGAGACAGAGACAGTGAGAGGGAAAGTGAGAAATCCTCCCCCATCCTCCCAGTGGGGATGGTCAAGGCACAATCCCTTCTTCTTCATTCTCTTCCCAGTATCTTAGGCATGCACACACACACACTCGCCTAGCACAATTCTGAAGGCACCAGGTCCAGGACTCAATCCATGGCTGACCATGTGGAAGTCCAGCAACATAAAATAAGCTTAATTTAATTTTTTTTTTTTGGAGAGATTTTCACTGGAGGGCGCGTGCGCGCGCCAGAGAGAGACATAGAGACAGAAAGCGAGAAATCACCCCCCAGGGGGGATGGTCACGCCACAATCCCTTCTCCTCCATTCTCCTCTCGGGATCTTGGGCGCGCCCGCACACGCGCCACACGCGCCCGGCGTGAGTGTTAAGCCACCGGGTCGGGACACGAACCGCGGTCGACTACGTGGGAGTCCACCGCCATAGCCATTACGCTAACTGCTGGTTCCCCATCCTTGGGATTTTTGGGCCTGTTCACATGCACTCCCAGCCTGGGTTTCAAGCCTCTGGGTTCAGAACTCCAACAGCGGTCAACCATGTGGGGTCCAGCACTCTAAATACTAGCCACCTTAAAATTCCACTGGCCTCTTAAAATTCTTGATGGGCCAGCAGGTGGTGGTGAAGATGCTGGACTCACACAAGGCTAATCTCTGCTCCAGTCCCAGATTTGGTGGTGGCTTGAGGGTCACGCTCTGCACCAATGCAAGCAGCGCCCAAAATCCTAGAAGAAGGCGGGGCGTCTGTCTCTCTCTCCAGCGAGTGCAGGTTTTTGCCTTATCACATAAACCTTTAAAAAAGAATCTTTAAGTATCATAGCCAAACGTCTATACAAAAAACATGTCAGAAAATCAGCCCAAGTGAAATAAAACTCAGTTAGCCCCAAAACCATCCTAACGAGAATTCTGCAGTTAGCTGCACTATACACTCCATCTGTTTGGGGTCGGTTTCGAGAGTGATACCGTCTTTCTCCTCCTACCCTTACAGAATTTTGAAGCTGTTTACATGTAATTACCGACGGTTTTGAGCAGCTTTTTCACTCCCTCCTTTGTGCAAAACCAAACCGAAATTTTTCAAAATGAATAATCAGTATAGTGTGTGGAAGTTTGGGCAAAATTGCCTCCTCACGTTAAGGTGGAAGCAATTCCCGAAGAGGAGGAGGTTCTGGGGTGCAAGGCGAGCCTGCACCACACTGATCACGCAGATACCTGTTGGGTACGTCCGAGCTAATGGCCATCTGCGTAACGTTTTCTAGGGACTCACGAGGCTTTTTGCGGGTCGGACAGAATCTCATCAGCCTGCTGGTGTTTTTTCATGAGCCAGGGCTTTTAAGCGCCGTTATCTAGTGGGCAGAAGTCGCGGTCAGAAAGACTCAAAACATCTTTCTTCCTCAAGCTAACCCGCCCAGAGGGCTGTGAACGTGCTCTAATACCGCCGAGAGAATCAAAATTACAGAGGCCTGAGGCGGCTGCAAATTGAACGGGAAGGGTTTGAAACAGCTGCAGGGAGAGGCGTTTGCGCTGTGACAGCTGATGTCCACTGGGCTCTGGAGTCTGTCCTCCCCGCGCCCGGCCGCTGGCCGTCATTAGCGTCGCCCGGCCCAGGGCTCTAAGCCTCCTCCCCGGCCTAACGCGACGACCCTCACTCTCAGCCCTTCCCCCCTCGCCTCCAGGAATCCCGCGCTCCGCCCATCCCCCTCTCGAGTCTTCCTCTCTTTCCTCTTTGCCTCCGGCCTGCCTCTCCTCTCCTCCCCTTTTTCTCTTCACCCTCCAGCCCAGCCCACCCCGCTTTCTCCCCCATTCCCTTCCCTCAGATTCGCGCTCCCGCAGCAAACGCCGCCTCCTCCCTCGGCTCCGGGAGACGCCAGGCTAGGGGCGACGCTCGCTCTGTCTGGGCTTGGGCCCCGCGGCGACGGCGGCGGCACCATGTTTCTTCATTCAGTCAACCTCTGGAACCTGGCGTTTTATGTCTTCATGGTCTTCATGGCCACCCTGGGGCTATGGGATGTCTTCTTTGGCTTCGAGGAGAATAAATGCAGTATGAGCTACATGTTTGAGTACCCCGAGTATCAGGTAAGGTTCCGCCCTCTCCCCACCTGGGCGCTCCCAGACGCTGGCCCCTCGCGCCGGGACCTCCTCTGGGTTCCCTCGCCTTGGCTCCCGCGGCTCTCAGGCTCCCTGATCGCAACCTTGCCTCTGTTTTCATCCTTCCGGAAGACACCGCAGACCCCTCCGACCCCCTCACCTGCCCTTTGTGTCCTCCCTTCACTGTGGGGTATTTGAAAATCTCGGAGCATCCTCTCCGTCCTTCTTGCAGTTTCCCCGCTGCCCCTCCGTTCCCTGCCCGGCCCAGCCTCTTAGCCTCAGAGAAGCAGCCTCAGCTCTTCTCCTCAAATCCAAACCCCATCCTCCCTGCGTTCCTGCTTTAACAGGTGCCCCTGGACCCTCCTTTGCTTCCCACGCGCCTACATTCTTCCTCTTGCGCGCAGTGATTTGCACGTCGGGTTTCGCTTTTCTGAGGGGGATCGAGCGTCTGCAGAGCGTTCCTGTGGCTGTTGGAGAGACTCCAGGGCTTTACCTCTGGGTGAAAGGGTAACTCGATGAGTAATTAAAAGGAAAATTATTTAGGTTCCCTCCCTTGAAGATTTTGCGGATCCTCCCGTTGGATAGGTTATGGGTCTGTGCGCGTGTGTGCATACCTGTGTTTCTACATGTCGCGGAGCGGGCGGGCCTCTTACCAGTTGCATACGAAAACCTGTTTTCATGGTGTTATTTTTGTTTACGCACCGTGTTCACAATCTAAGAGCGGCCCACCCTCTGTCCGCCGCCCCTATCTCTTCTGTTCCATTTTGAATGTTCTCAAATCAGTTGCTTCGTTAGTTCGGCGTAGTAGAATCTAGAATTTCATTCATGACTAGCTGTAAAAAGAGGTGGTGACAGATTACACCACTGTCCAAAGGAATTTATCCAGAATTATTCCTTTATGTGTATGTGTTGTAATACGTACTGATATACGCATTTATAGTGTACTTTAAAAACCATAGCAGGTTTTTATCTTTAGAGTGAAGGATCTAAGTCTGGATTCCTTCTGTGAACAGGTCATTATGGAGGGGGCATTTTACTTGATCACGCAGCTATTATTTAGGTCTTGAAGCTACTTAAAGTTTAAATTGCTTAAGAGCATCCTTGCCCACAGGCAAAATTCTAGTAAATTTAGATTTCATTTGTTTTTAGCTCTTTACCTTGGTTTTGCACCAGTGGTAATACGGAAGTGGAAACATTTTATTTCCCATTCTGTTTAAGGAAAAGATTTTAATATGTTATTGTTATTTCTGTTATTTTCTAAACAAATATTATGGAACATGCGGGTTTGTGTTTTTCAGAGGCTGTATAATTAAATACATGGGCCTTTAGTTTTGTTTTTTTTTTTTAAGCTGAGAAGAGCTATTAAAGTCCTTATTTTCTATCATTTGATAATTAAGAAACTCTCAATAGATTGAAATAGGTCACTTTAGTTTTGTACTGCAATGAAGAGTTTGGTTAGAATGAAATCATTTTGGAACATTAAATTACTAATTGCTATTTATTTTTAAATCGTCCATAATTATTGAAGCTATTTTAATATTTGTAGTAGTAGAAACTGTTTTCCTTAATGTTGGGAACAAAGCATATGGTCCTTACAGATGCTCTTCCTGCCTCATGAAATTAACTGGAAAAGACACAGAAAATTAGTGTAACAAACGCAAAAAAAAAAAAAAAAAAAAAAAGCTATTTGGTTTTTTGTTGTTGAGTAGTCAGTATTTTGTTGTTTGGGCCCAGATTGCCTATTTAGAGTTTTACAGTTCTGTTAATTTGTTTACTGTAATTACAGAGGCAGTTTTTGATGCATATTTTTAGCAGATTTTTTTCATAATGCTACTTATTTATATTTGACTCCTAGTCCTTATATTTTGCACACTAGTTTGTGTTATTTAACAGATGTAATTAAACCTGCTTATAAAAATGAGTCATTTTGAATAGCGAGAGAGATTTCTGGGTAAATGAAGTCATTTTATTAAAAATCAGGTAGTTTTCATGAATAAGACAGTTCTAAAGGTACTTTATATATTTTAATTGTATTTTATAGTCAGCTTTCTATTGACAGGTTGATATTCAGCATGTGGAATATCCTAGTCATTGGATTTTCATCCCTTTCCTGATGCCTTTTCCCATTTTTACTGCTTGTTTGCATCCTTTTTTAGTCAGCCAGCAGAAGAAATGGAAAGGTAGTTGAAACACACAATTTTATTCTCCATTTTAAAGAAAAAGAGAGATGGGGTAGGAATTTGAAACTATAAAAATGAAATTTTGAATTTAAAATTACTAGATTATCTCTATTCATTCTCTACCTCTGTTTTTCCTAGATTTGTTTATTCAGATTTAATTGAACATCTCATGAATATATTTTAACCTACCAGGGAAAATACACATTATCCTTTAAAGCTTCTTACCTCATTGTGATAGTAAGGCAAAACTTAGTATTGGCAGGAGATGATTTTAGGCAAGTTGTACAATTTGGGAAAAAAAAAATCTGAGTTGTTTTTTCATACAGTCATTTGACTGCTTTTATATGTGTGACCTAATGGTTGCTCTCTGAAAGGAAATGTTGATATTAAAAATATGAATCACATATTTGTTATTAAATGTGATGTTTATTTAACAAGCCATTTATTGAGTAATTATTCTGTGCCAGTATATACAGATACTTGATATGTGTAAGAGGGAATTAGAGACAAATCAGACTTGTGCCTTTATTTATTTGTAATACAGTGTGGAGACAGGAATATAGTGTATAGTTAAGGTATACTGTACTTTAAATTTTCATTTTAAGAGCATTTGTACAAGGCTTTTCACAGAAGAAAGAGCATCCAAGTTTATCTTAGGTGGGTATTCTAGACTTCAGAGAAGATGAAATGAATTGGACCTTGGAGAATGTATAGTCCATAAAGTGTAGGAACAAGAAAATTACAGACATAAATAGAATATGTGGGATGGGAAGGCCCTAGGTTGCATTGCATGAACAGTATTTATAATATATTATCAGTTTATTTAAAAAGAGAAAAAATCTATAAATGTACTCGTTATCTATATATGCAGTAAGGAAGCGCATGGGTTGTATGTATTAGGGTCTATAGATTATTACAGGGAGATTATGACAAGAAAAAAAGATCAGTCTCAAAGATTCAGTTTATCCTGAGGTGATTTGTTTGTTTTTGTTTGTTTGTTTGTTCATTTGTTTTAAACACACTGGAGTCTCTAGGACTGTTCTTACTAATCAAATAATCAAAGGGTGAGATTGCTTTGTAAGAACTTTAAAACTGTCTTAATTTTGATCATTTTCTTTTTGGATAATTATGGCGCTCATACTTGTTTCTGCAGTTTTAATTTACAATTAAAAGATACATGTCATGGGGCCAGCAGGTAGCGATGTGGTTAAGTCGCTGAATTCCCACATGGCAGACGCTGGTTCAAGTCCCAGACTCAGTGGATTGAGGATCATGTAGGGCATAATCCTGGGAGGAGAAGGGAGCACAAGTACACTACACTTAAAAAAGAAGAAGAAGAAGAAGGAGGAAGGCTGTATAATGTTAAACAACAAATGAAATATAAAACAGAAGTATGTAAATAATTAATTAATAATAGAGTAAAAAGTATATAAAACAAAGATTTTTGTTTCTTTTTAAAAAAATTTTTTGCTATAAGGCATGATTACCTGTGAGGGACAGAGGGAGAGAAAGTGAGAAAACAGCCCCTAGAGGGCATGATCACACTCCAGTCTCCTCTCCTCCATTCTTTTCTAGGGACTCTAGGTGCACCACACATGTGCCTGGCATGTCTCAAGTCGCTAGGTCTGGGACTTGAATCACATAGTCGGCCATGTGGAATCTAGCTAGTTAAGCACCAAGCCACCTTGGCTGGCTCAGACTTTTGTTTCTTAAATCAGTATTTTTCTAGCTCTTGGAAGTTCGTTAGGATTTTTGTCTTACAAAAGGCATTTAGGTTAGAGGTGGGAAAGATCTGTACTAAAGCAGAGTTTAGGAAGGACAGATAGAGGAGCAAAATTGTGGAGGTAATATTTAAGTGTAAAGGTAATTGACCTTAATTATAGGTCTTTTGATGGAGTAGGAGATTTGCTTAATCTAAAATAACCTATATAAAATAGTCCATCTGTATTGGAACCCTGTTGCTATACACATTTCTTTTTAAGTCTCCTTACTACATCTTTTTTGTATGCCTACACCTTTACACCTTTCTGTCAGTCTGATCAATTACCTTTCCTGTGTCTTCCTGTCAATCACTTCCCACTTGATCTCTGGTAATACAATTTTGTCGTTTGCCAACAACTCCCACCAGTCTTGCCTCTTCTCTGTCTGTCTCTCCCGTTTTTTTTTTTGTTGTTGTTGTTCTGTCTCTTTTTTCCATCTCTATACTACTCTGTATAGTCCCCGCCCTTCCTTATCCTTAGGGGATATGTTCCAAGATCCCTACCCTACTCTAATGAATGCCTGGACTCCCACATAGCTGACTGCAATTTGAGTCCCTGACCTGTTCCCCCCCCCCTCTCTGGTGACCACATATACCCTATAACAAACTTAAAGAAATACTAATAATAAATAAATAATATAAAAATAAACGGTAAGAGATTAATAATTACTAACAATTAACAATAACTACTAATAAAATAGAATGATTATAACTGTATGCCAGCACCACTACTCTTGTGCTTTGGGGCCATTATTAAGTAAAATAAGGGTTACTTAAACACAGTCACTGAGAGCACATAGTAGAGGTGATAACCAAGAAGGCTATGTGACTAATGGTAAAATATATACCATGGCTATGATGTGCAAAGTGATGTGATTCACATCCCAAGAGAAAGAAATGGGATGGAACGAGATTTCATCAGACTACTCAGAGCAGTGCACAATTTAAAATTTATGAAAATAACTGAAACTATGTAAAGCAAAATTGTGAATAAGGAGGTGCTATTTTAAAAAGTGACCTCTTACTGTAAAATTGTTTTCATAATAGTGTGTTATGAAATATATCAAAAATATTCTTTTGCTTATTTTTCTGCCTCTAGAGAAGTAAATATTTCTTTTCAGATATAATTAATAATTTCCTTTTCTTCTGGGTTAATTTTCAACTTGTTTAAACTTTGTTTAGTTACTATAATAAAATGAATAGTGATCTAATCTCTATGTATTATATGGTGTACTAAATTGGGAGGAGTTAAGAAACTGTTTCTTTGTTCCTTACATTTTCTTTTTACTTAATTTGTACCTAAATAAATAAAATAATGTGTCATTTTCATTTTTGATTGTACTAGGGTCTTGAAAAAGTTAATGGAAAGTGCATATTATGTAAAAACTATGCATGTGTTTTCCCTTTTTTGTGCACTAAAATATTTTTTCCAGAAATGACTCCTGTATTTCCAACCAAACCCAGCATTCAGTTTGGAATCTGACATGTAACTTGCCTAGGCTGACCCCTGTAACCTAATGGTTAAAGGAGCCATATTCCACATGGCTGACTATCCATTTTTTCCATGAACTTTTTGAAGCCCTCTCCGGGTACACCAGGCATAAATCAATATTGGCACTAATTTGACTTAATACAAACCACACACATACACACACACAGCTAGTAGTGGGGTTAGTATTTCTGTATTTTGAGTCGGTAACTGGGATTCCTTTTTTTTAAATTTTTTATTATTATTTTTTTAAAGGTTTTTGCCTTAGGGTTGCTGCCAGACAGATAGAAAGAAAGAAATCACCCTACACACACACTCCACTCCCATGGGGATGGCCACGCCACAATTCCTTCTCAATTCTTCTGAGATTTTGGACATGCACACACATGTGCCTGGAATAATTTTCAACTTGCTGGGTCCAGGGGTCAAACCACAGTCAGCCATGTGGGAGGGAGTTTAGTGCCTTAACCACCACGCCACCTGCTAGCCCCAAAAGATTGCTAATATTTTAAACAATAAGCTCACAGTCTTTACTAATATTTCTATATTGTTATTGGTACAGTTTATGGTAATATTCTCAAAAGAATATTCAGAAATGTGTATGAATGACCAGAATTTTTTTGGAACAGTGAGGTTTCTCGGTAACCATTAATAATAGTTACAGTTTTTGAAATGCATTCAGTTTAAAATTTTTTTTAATAATTATTTTATTTAACTTATTTATTTATTTATTTTGAACTTTGACCAGAGTGGGACAGAGTGAGAGAGAGAGAGAGAGAGAGAGAGAGAGAGAGGGAAAATGAGAAAGCAAAACACCAGGTCCGGGACTCAAACCATTGTCAGCCATGTGGGAGTCCAGCACCCTTAACCACCATGGCACCTGCTGGCCCCAGTTTACATTTTTTTTTTTCTCTTGGAGAGGTTTTTGCTACAGGGCACGTGCACTCACCAGACAGACAGAGAGAGACAGAAAGCAAGAAATCACCCCCCAGGAGGGATGGCCACGCCTCAATCCCTTCTCCTTCGTTCTCCTCTTGGGATCTTGGGCACGCATGCACACACACCCGGCGTGAGTTTTAAGCCATCGGATCTGGGACGCAAACCGTGGTCGACTACATGGGAGTCCAGCGACACAGCCATTACGCTATCTGCTAGTCCCCCAGTTTAAAATTTTTTAGCAAGCACATACTGTATGTACAGCACAGCTAAGTCATTAATCTACTGATGTTTAATTAAATAAAATCTGTCCAATATAATTGATTTTTTTTTTAGTAGTTTCTACCTTTAAAATTTTTTTCTAAGAAGGAACATAAGAGCTTATACTTTACTACCATTTTTATAGATGCCTACCTTTTGGGCAGGCCTACTAAGAACTAATTTATATTATGTTAAATTTTATGTAACCTATTGGCTCATTGGTATACAATAATATGAATTGCAGAGTAGTTTAAAGCTTGCTGACAGCCATGTACCTGGTCCATGAAAACTGAGACAGATGCTAATTCACTGGAATGTTTATGGTAAGAAGAGTATACATATCTTGACCAAGGCATGACTATAAGGTTCAGATTCATTTGTTAAGCATATTGTAGGTCAGAGCATATTACGTTGACAGGTCAGAAAGCATGCATTATAAACAAACTTCACTTTGAAGATGTAACAGCTCAAAAACGTAGTTGGGACTGAGTAAAAGAGACATTCAAAACACTTTAAAATGACGAAAACAAATTGATTTGATAATGGAAAGCTTTTATCATTTCTAAGTATAATTGATACTGATACTAAATTAAATGCATTTCCAATCATGTTTACATGTAATTTGCTGACATATGCCAGTGCTTTTCTGCAGTTGCAGCGGTTATTTTGAGTAATTTCAGGTAGTCCCATACTGTGATTTCCTGAAAACTACATCGCTTAAAACTCATATAATTTAAGACCAAGTTTCTATATGAGTAAGCTACAACTAGAACTTATTTTGTACATTAAGTATGGTTTTATTATGTTTTTATATTGTACTGTTTCAAGTTTGTATAATTCAGAATTGCACGCATTGAGACTGAATTGTATTAATAAACTATTAAAGTAAAATGGCATTTTTAAAATTTATTTCCTTTTTTTTTCACTTGTAGAAAATAGAACTTCCAAAGAAACTGGCAAAACGCTATCCAGCATATGAATTATATCTTTATGGAGAAGGTTCCTATGCAGAAGAACATAAAATTCTCCCTTTAACGGGTATTCCAGTTCTCTTTCTTCCTGGTAATGCTGGAAGTTACAAACAAGGTAAGTCTTGGAGGTAAGATTTGAAAACTATAAAATTCAGTTCGTGAATTTGAATCATGCATACTCAGTGAATAAATAAAGTAACTGTATTAGTACTGTGTTAGGCTTACCAGGAAACCCAAATTTATGATTTTTACTCTGAGAGAAAGTACATGTGAGATGTACATGGAAAAGAAGTGTCACATTGCAAAGAGTGAAAAGGAGAAAAAGAGTAAGATGGAGTGATATGGAAAAAATAGATGATGCAGAGATTTAGGAATCGGCAGAGGAAAGGGATTTATGATGGAAATAGAGTACAGAGAACAGAACAAAAAGCATTGATTTGGAAAGTAAATCAATGGTTTATGTTTGCCAAACAGGAGAAGAGATTGGTTTCTTTCTTTTGAAGCATGTTAAGTTATATTTAGAACTGAGGGAAACACAGGTGAAGATAATGAAATTTTTTGTTTGTTGGTTTTTAAAATGTGCAGGGGGGTACCAGAAGGTGATGTGGTGGTTAAAGCACTGGACTACCACATAACTCACTGCAGTTCGAGTCCCAGACGCAGCAACTTGAAAATCAAACCGGGCACGTGTGTGTGCATCCCCAGAATCCCAAGAGGAAAACAGAGGAAACGAGATTGCAGAGAATGGCCATTCTCCTCAGGGGGGATGTTTTTTCACTTTCCTTCTCTGTCTTTTTCTGATTCTCTGACAAGTACATGTGCCCTATAGTAAAAACCTTAAAAAAAAAAAAAAGTGCCAAAGTGTCAGGGAGAGGGGCAAGCACCCTTAGTGGGTGTGGTCACATTGCAGTTCCTTCTCTTCCACTTTTCCATCCTGTTGGGATTTGGAGCACACACACATGCCCGGCATGTTTTTCAAGCTGCAGGGATATAGATTTGAACTGTGGTCTACCATGTGAGATCTGCCTCTCTTAACCACTGGGCTGCAGGGGTCAGCCCAGGGAAGTTACATATACAGATGCCACATTGATTATCAGGTTGGAAATACAGGAGTTACTTCAGGCATAAGAGTCAGGTAATATGGAAATAATTTTGTTTTCAACTAAAATCTGCTATTTTGGTCTATAAATGGAGTAGAATTGTCATGTAATAGACTAGAATTGTTGTAACATGTAGTATAATTACTTGCAAGTTTCTTTATGCATCTAGCAGATATTTATGGATTAGTACCACCATGAGTCAGGTAATACTCTAGGTATTGGTATCCAAAGCAGACCAATACAGATGAAATCTCTCTTTTATCAGACTTATATTCTAGTTGGGAAGATAGCCATTAAGGAAATATGTCAGTAATGTTAAAAACTAGAAACAGGGGGCCAACAGGTGGCGTGGTGGTTAAGAGCATTGGACTCACATGTGACTGACCGTGGTTTGAGTCCCAGACTTGGCGTTTCTCACTTTCAATCTCTCTCTCTCTGTCTCTCCCTCTCAGGTCAAATTAAATAAATAAATAAATAAAATAATTATTAAAAAAAAAAAAACTAGAAACCGTATAAGAGTACAGAATAAACAAGGTCAGTAGGTGAATAGGTTATGTAAGGTGGGAAAGAAAGGTCACCGTGAGAAGATGGCATTTGACAGAGACTTGAATGTAGCAAAGGAATGCATGCAGTTTTGGGGGGAAGATCCTGAGACAGAAGTATGCTTGGTGTATTTAAGACCATTATTGACTAAAAAAAGTGAAAAGAGATGAGAATGGAAAAGTTGCCATAGGCTATATCATATAAGCTGTGGAAAGGACTGAATTTTGATAAAAATGTGAAAATGTTGGAGGGTTTTGAGTAAGAATTATGTAATCTGATTTTTTTTGTAATTAATTGTTGTATTCAACATATTGCATGTACCCAGAGAAATACATAGACTATAGATATTTAGTTGAAAATTATTATAAAGTGAACATCCGTGAAACCAAAACCCAGGCTAAGAAGTGGAATATTGCCAGCATCCTGGAAACTTATTTTATGCCCCCCCCCCTTTTTAAGGGGTATCTTAAAACTCCCTGCACTCTTTCTAGACATAATCACAGTCCTATCTTTAAGGTAATAATTTTCTTAATTTTCTTTATAGTTTTAGTGCCTAACTCTGCATCCTTAATATATTTATTTAGGTCTGTTTTTAAACTTCGTAATATAAACACAATCATTCAGTATATATTCTTTTGTGTCTGGCTTCTTTCATTCAGCATTATCGTTAAAAATTCTTCCATGTAGTTTTGTGATTTTTTTCCCTTACTCTGTATTACTCTGTTGTATGACTATACCATGGTCTATCCATTCTGTCTTTGGACATTTGGGTTAGGGCAAATAAGCCAGTGTTTCCATAAGATCTATACCTATCAGTGTAATTTCATGTTACAGGTTATGTCTGTCCTTTTGTCTTTACTGGTTGTACTAATTTATATTCCCACAAGCACTACATTATACTTTTCTTTGTTCCACATCCTTGACAATATTGGAATTGTGAGGTTTAAATTTTTTAACTTATCTGGTAGGTGTGATTTACATCCAAAAAATTTATTACTCTGGCTTTGCTGTGAAAAGAATATGCTATAAAAGCCAAGAGTGGAAATAGGGGAGATACGAATCATTAGTCATCAAATGAATGCAGATCCCGGCTAGGATAGGTATAATCAAAAAATAAATAATGGGCCAGTAGGCGATGTAGTGGTTAAGGTGGCTGGATCCTATGTGGCTGACTGCATGGTTCAGGTACCAGACCCAGCAACTTGAGAAGCTTACCGGTGTGTGTGCCCAAAATCTAAAAAAGAGAAATGGAGAAGAGATTGTGGTCTGACTGTTCCCCATTAGGTATGCTTTCTCACTTTTTCTCTTTCTGTCTCTCCCCAGTGAACTCACAATTTTTTTTTTTAAATTAAAATAAATAACAAGTATTGGCTAAGATGAGTAGAAATTGGAATCTTCATGTACTGCTGGTGGGAATGTAAAATGGTGCAGCCATTTTGGAAAACAGTGGCAGTTCCTCAGAATACTAAATATGGAGCTGTCATGTGGGCCCAAAATTTCACTCCTAGATATCTACCTAAGAAAATAAACATGCATAACAGCACTATTCATGGTATCCCAAAGGTGGAAGTAATCCCAGTGTTTATCAGCTGACAAATGGATGAGCAATATGTGACATACCCATACAATGACTCATTATTCAGTGGTAAAAAAGAATGAATTATTGATATAGGCCAGAACATGGATGAACCTTGAAAACATGAGAAACAAAATATGCTAATCACAAAATATAACATAGTATATGATTCTGTTACGTGAAAAATCCAAAGTAGGAAGTCTGTAGGATTAGAACGTAGGTTAGTGTTTGCCCAGGGTTGTGAAGAGTGGGGAAATGGAGAGTGACTGCTAATGGCCACAAAGGTTTGTTTTAAAATTGTATTTATTATTTATTTAGTTAGTTAGTTAATGTCCTTGTTATTATTATTTTAATTTGCTATTGGGCATGTGTGCTCACCAGAGAGAGAAAGTGAGAAAGCAAGCCACCAGATCTGAGATTTGAACCTCAGCCAGCCATGTGGGAGTCTAGAGTCTTAATCACCATGCCACCTGCTGGCACCTTATTATTACTTTTTAAGATTTTGCCACAGGGCACATGCACTCATCAGAGAGAGAAAATGAGAAAGTAAGCTGGCAGTGCAGAACTCAAACCTTGGTCAGCCGTGTGGGAGTCCAGTGTTTTAACCTCCACACAACCTGCTGGCCCCACAGTTTTGGTTTTGAGATGATTAAAAGATATACAATGTGGGGCTGCAGGTGGCGTAGTGGTTAAGGCACTGGCCTCCAACATGACTGACTGTGGTTCGAGTCCCAGACTTGGTAACTTTTTCTCTCTCTCTCTCTCTTGCTCCGTCTCTAGTCAAATGAAAAGAAATACAACAATAGCAAATAAAATTAAGTAAACAATTCTTTTAAAAAAATCTAATGTTAGATTTCAGAGTTGGTTGTACAGTTTATACCAGAAATTGTGAATATACTACAACCCGCGTATTTACACACTTTACACAGTGAGTTGCATACTGTTGACTTACAGTGTACATATAATACATGTTTCAGAAAGTGAGAGCTGGCTCTGTGGGATAGTGGTGATGTACTGCTCAAAAGAAGCCGGATTCCACATGACCATGGCTCGACTTCCTGGCCTGTTTCTGTTTGACCTGAGAAACATATGTGTGCTAGGCACACATGCAGGGACCCAGGATAAGACATACTCTATGTAATGAAAAAAGATAATAAAAAAAAAAAAAAGAGAGAGAGAGAGATAAGGGCAAACAGAGGTACTTTATTTGGTAAACCATATGCTGTAGTTTTTTTCTTTATATACGATAGAGTGTGCATACACATGAGAGAGTGAGAAAGAGAGAAACATGAACACCCTCCAGAGTTTAGGCACATCCTGATTCCCCTGCTCCGGACTATTGGATCCTGGGCAATTGTGCACATACATTTCAGGCAGGGATTCAAGCTATGGTCACCACGTGGGATCTGATCCCTCTTGAGCAGCACATTGCCATTGTACCACTGTATCACAGAACTGGCCTCAAATGCTATAATTATTATGCCACTTAATGTAATCAATTCCTAATGAATTTTGTTAAAAAGTTTATAAAACGGCAAAAAGAAGAAAAAGAGTGGAAGCAGGGAGATGAGTTAGGAAACTATTAGAATAGGTAAGAGACAATGGTGCTAATTATAAAAATAAATAATTGTATCATACAAAAAAAAAAAAAAGATGATGGTGCTGGGACCAGCAGATGGAGTAGCTGTTACATCACTGGACCCCCACATGGCTGACCATGGTTTGAGTCCTGAGTCCTGGAGCGTGACTATACCCTCTGGGGTGTGATTTCTCAACTTCCCTCTCACTGTCTCTGTCTCCCTGCCATCTGCCCTCTGTGGGCACATGTACCCTAAGGGAAAAAACCTCTCAAAAAAAAAGAATGATGATGGGACCAGCAGTTAGCGTAATGGCTATGTCGCTGGACTCCCACGTAGTTGACCACGGTTCGAATCCCAGACCTGGTGGCTTAAACTCACGCCGGGCGCGTGTGCGTGTGTGCCCAAGATCCTGAGAGGAGAATGGAGGAGAAGGGATTGCGGCATGGCCATCCCCCCTGGGGGGGGTGATTTCTCACTTTCTGTCTCTCTGTCTCTCTGTCTCTCTCTCTGTCTGGTGAGCGCATGCGCCCTATAGCAAAAACCTCTCCAAAAAAAAGAAAAAAAAAAAGAATGATGGTACTTAGATTAGGAAGATGATGGTAAAAATGGTGAGAAGCTTCAATTGGAGATACATTTCGAAGGTAAAGCAGGGGTAGAACTTACTGATAGATTGGTGGCATGTTTGAAAGAAAGAGATCAAGCATGAGTATCTAAAACAAGTGATGAGCAGACATTTCTTGTAGATAACCTAATTCTCAGTAAATGTAAGAGATTCTTTATTTCTTATTCTTCAAAATATCCTTCCCTTCTCTTTTAGCCTTTGTCATCCTTACTAACAAGGAAGCTAGTAGAGAATGAGTGACCTGTTCATCCTTTATTTATTTGATTTAAAATATACTTAGGGGGAACAGCAGGTGGCATGGTGGTGGTAAAGGATGCTCGATTTTCATATGGCTGATCACGGTTTGAGTCCTGGACCTGGCAGCTTTCTCTCTCTCACGTACACACTCTGTCCCTCTCTGGAGAAATTAAAATAAATAAATAAATAAGTAAAGTTAAATAAAATAATTTTCAAAATATATGTATATTTTAGGACACACTCTTGTGTTCAAGTTATTTATTAGGAGATTTTAAAGTAAGAATGAATAAAAATTTAAAACTTTATTTAATGTGCACTTCTCTTGTCCTTTGCAGTTCGTTCTATTGGCTCTATTGCACTAAGAAAAGCAGAAGACATTGACTTCAAGTACCACTTTGACTTCTTTAGTGTGAACTTCAATGAAGAATTAGTGGCATTGTATGGTGGAAGTCTTCAAAAGCAGACCAAGTTTGTACATGAATGCATTAAAACAATTCTCAAACTCTACAAGGTGAGACAACCATGTAAATTAATGGTGCTGGAACCTGTCAGCATCTCTTTTTTGAGGGACTCAGTATTTTTTTAAATCATGTATTTGTTTATATTGAAGTTGAAGCAAATATGACACAAAATTTTTTGTATGTATGAGAGTGTTGTCTTCAACTCAGTGGTGGTTTTGAAGTTTAAATTGAATGTACAGAACATCTTTCTAGAAAGTGAATTTAGAAAAAAATAACTTTATAGATATATATTTATTAGTAGTACAGTGCATTTTCTAAAAGCCATTGGTATAGATTTTTGCTTTTTGCTGTGACTAAGTAACTAGTACTGGAGTAGATCACTGCGTACGTAAACAACTATAAAACTGGTCAACCTAAAGCACCTGTTTTGAGATGTTAGACAACCAAGCAGCAGAGGACTGTGATCCCTGAAAGAAGTGAGCTCCATGATTGCCCTGGCTTTCTGCCTAGAAGCATTTTCCAGACCATCAGGCAAGTAGGTGGAAATCAAGCTGAGCACATTGATATTGCTGAGCTAAAGAAGACAGAGAATTAGAATTTGAGGCTACTAAAGCCAAGGTTAGATAAGGGACAGGTTATAAAAACCAGCAGAATGATGCAGAGACAAAAGTGCTAAAAATTGCATTTTTTAATCTTTGAATGCCATGCTGCAAGTGTACAGGATGAGAAACTACAAGGGAGTGGCAAACCAGCAAAAAAGTAGTAGAGTGTGTTTATCTCAGGTATAAGAAATAAAAAGGAATGTATGTCTTTAGAGAAATTGAAAAGAATAGTAAAATAGAGTGAAAATCATCTGTGCCAGCAATTCTAAGCAGTGTCAGGGATTGAATACAATTACCTAATTGGGGGAGATGGGAGGACTGCTTCTTCCTCAGGTGGCCACTGTGGAATACTTGGAAGAAACCAGCTATTTTAGAGTTGTAATCTGAACTGAGATTTTAGAGGCCACATGGTGCTGGGAAATAGGAGTTCTGACCATCTAGAGTAGAAATAGAGTATAGAGGGCTTTCACTTGAAACTCCAGAAAAGGACATAATTTAAAAGGACATAATCTTTTTTTCTTTTTAAAGAGAGATTATTGCTATAGGGTTTGTGTGCTTACCAGGGAGACAGAGAGAGACAGAAAGTTAGAAATCATCCTCCAGGTGGGATGGCCATGCTGCAGTCCCTTCTCCTTCATTCTCCTCTTGGGACTTTGGGCTCACACACACATGCACCCAGTGTGAGTTTCAAGCTGCTTGGTCTGGGACTTGAACTGTAGTTGACTACATGGGAGTCCAATGACATAACCATTACACCATCTGCTGGTCGCCAGGAACAGGATAATTCTAGCCCTAAATTAAGAGCTACTCTAGTGTTCACTTTAACAATGCTTAGGTATTGGGGCGAATACTGACATGGCTAACAGTAGTTTGAATCTTAGACCTGGTGGCTTGAAAATCACATCAGGCAGCTGTGTGTGCATGCCCAAAATCCTGAGAGAAGAATAGTAGAGAAGGTATCGAGATGCGGCCATCCCTCTGGGGATTGATTTCTCACCTTCCTTCTCTCTGCCTCTCTCTCTTTTTCTCCAGCAAGTACACATGCCTTATGGTAAAAAATAAAAAACAAAAAAGAAAAAGAAGTGCTTAAGTATAAGCCTCAAAAATATCCAACAAGTTGGGACCAGCTGGCCCACAGTCCTGAGTGGAGAATGGAGGAGAAGGGATTGCAACATGACCATTCCCCCAGGGGGTGATTTCTTGCTTTATATCTCTCTGTGTCTCTGGCAAGTGCCCATACCCAAGCAAAAATCTCTCAAAAAAAAACCAAATTAAGGACTTAAGGTAAAAGATGCACATAACAAAGAAACAAATGGAACATCTCAGCAGACAGAAAGTATAAGCAAAACAGAAAGAAAAATCTAGCGCTAAAACAATACATAATCAGAAATGAAATATTCACTAGGTAGTTGTAAAACAGATTCAGCACTACAGAAAAGATCCCAGGATTTGAAGACACAACAATAAAAACTATCCAAAATGAAGCACAGATGGCAAAAGGACAAAAAAGAGATTCAGAAACCTGTGAAATAGTACTAAGCAGTCTAACACATATGTAATTAGAACCCTAAAAGAAGGATAGAAACAGAGGAGGAAAAAATATTCAAAGAACTAATGGCCCCAGAATTTCTAGTTTTGACTAAACATTTTCAACACATAGATCCAAAAAGGTGAATGAATGTCAAATAGGATAAACATGAGAAAATCATACCTGAGGAAAGCAACTTTTCAGGAGAAATGGAAGGGAAGGGTGAGTTTCTAGGAAGTGGTGCTGTCTTCCAGATATCTCCCTAGGGCGGAACTCATTTGCTGCAGCAGCACCCAGTTCCAGATTTGGTGACGGAGGCTGGTCCTCTTGTGGCCTCTCCTCCCATCCGCTCAGAAACATTAATAAATAAACTTAGTAACTTGACTCTCAATCCTGGTACCAGATTCCTTTCTCCTTGATCAGAAGGTCCATACCAACAGCAGCACAGAAGGGAAGAGATCTTTCAGGTGATCAGAGGTGGCTTCCTCTACAGAAGGAAAGGAGTAAGAGCATTGTTTTCTGTGAGGAAAAAAAGGATGGTAAAACTGCAGTACCTTTTAATCAACAAATTTTCTCAGCTTGAAAGAAAACTTAAGAGACATGAGGCTTAGGGAGTTCAGCTTGAAAGAGATTTTAGAGACTTGAGCATTTCAGGAGTTCACAATGAACCAAGAAGTGAACCATTCAGATGTCACTGTAGTTATTTCCTGTATCATGGATGGGATCTCTCTGGAAATGCTAAAATAGGGAATAATTATGATAGTCAATTTAGCCATAAACCTTATTCCTTCCTGTTGGTAATTGTATGCAGCTGATTGAGAAAGGTACTTTTGATAACCTCTGAGTTCTGTGACATTTTTCTTTTTGCATCTCTTTCTATCTTGATACCAGTGATTTATAAAGAATATGTGTAGTTTGAATGTAGTTGAGTGAGTTCAAAGTACAATACTATGTTTGTACTTTCTGATCTGACTCAAAAAGCACCAGTAGTTCTCAGATAATGTGTGTTTTAGAAGCCTGGAGTATGAGATAAAACCCGGCATCAAGTTTCAAGCAAAGTGATTTATGGGGAAGGGATGGAAAGAAAACGGGATAGTTTGGCTAGAACATAGCAATTAGGATAAGTAATCAGATTTTTCCAGTTTTCAGAAATGTAAATTACAATAAAAGGAAATTTTGGTATTTAACTTTGTAGTAGTAAATAAATGTGTGCATATAGAAGAATTTATTAAATTCGATATACTTAAAGTAAAAAAAGTCTTACCTAATTATATCATACTCAAGTTTGTGGCACATATATTCCATAGAATACTATTCAGCCATAAAAAACAAGGCCCTGGAATTTGATAGAAAGTAGACGAATATGGAAGATGTGTTGCTGAGTGAAGCAAGTCAGGCTATGAAAGAGAGACATTGTATGTCTCCATTTAACATATAC